CAGGCCCAGGGAAGCAGAGAGAGGTGAGGGCGGGGCCAGGACCAGAAGCAGTGCTCCTGGAGCCCAAGAAAGGGACTGAGTTGGTCTGGGTGAGAAGGATCAGGAAGCAGTATTGGTTCCCCAGGTGTCTGGGGCTCCAAGACTATGAATGGCACAGGGCCCAAGCTAGGAGTATAGAACAGCGGGGTGGGTGTGGGGGGGATTGAAGGGTGAATGTGGCTTAGGGAGTCCCGGTGCGTAGAGTTGCGCTATAGACTTACCCCAAGAGGCCTGAGGATGGTAGTGCAGGCTAGGAGAGTTAGCTGGTGGTGCAGGCCCAGGGAAGCAGAGAGAGGTGAGGGTGGGGCCAGGACCAGAAGCAGTGCTCCTGGAGCCCAAGAAAGGGACTGAGTTGGTCTGGGTGAGAAGGATCAGGAAGCAGTATTGGTTACCCAGGTGTCTGGGGCCCCAAGACTAGGAATGGCGCAGGGCCCAAATTAGGAGTATAGAACAGCGGGGGAGATGGAAGGGTAAATGTGGCTTGGGGAGTCAAAGCGGGGAGGGCTGCACTACAGACTTACCCCAAGAGGCCTGAGGATGGTGACAAAGGGACTTTATAGGGAGTGTTACTAGTAAAACGCAAACACATTCCTTAGTCCTAGTTTCATTTTCTGACAAAAAAGCAACTTAGGGAAGAAGAGTTTCATTTGTCTTACAATTCCAGGTCACAGTCTATTATTGGAGGGAAGTCAAAGCATGGACCTAAAGCATCACATCTACAGTCAAAAGCAGAGAGAAAGTGACACATGGATCCTTGCTGACTTGTTGCTTGCTCTTATCTAGTTTTCTCTTCTCTCTCTTTTTTTTTAAAAAAATATTTTATTTATTTTTATTTTATGTGTATGTTGGTATCGCCTGCATGTAGGTAAGTGCACCTGTGTCATGCAATGCCTGCAGAGGTCAGAAGAGGCTGTCAGATCCCCTGGGACTGGAGTTATGGACAGCTGTTAGCTGCCATATGGGTGGGATGGGATTTGAACCTGGGTCTTCTGCAAGAACAACCAGTGTTCTTAACTGCTGAACCATCTCTCCAGTCCCAGTCTCTTCTCTTATGCTGTTCAGGACACCCTGCCTAGGAAATGGTGGTGCCCACAATGGATTGGGTCTTCCTACACCAAATAACAATCGAGACAATCTCCTATAGACATACTCACAGCTGACCTGATCTACACAATTCCTTATTAAGACGCTTTTCCTAGGTGATCCTAGGTTGTGGTAAGTTGACAGTTCAAGTTAACCAGCACAACCTTCTAAATGTTCATTCTTATTTTGTACCTCAGTGGTTTAATCATTAGATTTCTGTTCCAAAACATCCATTTCTTTTCCTAGGCTTAGTACTATGAGACACATATTAACAATATTCCCGGAGAGGCTGAGGCATGGATGTCTAACTGAGGTTGAGAGTTCATTCTATAAGTAATGAGGAACCTCTCAAAAAGACAATGCATACAGGGAATGGGATGATGACATTGTCTATATACACAGCTTTATTCTCCTTATGTGGTTTCAGGTTTTACTTTTGAAGACCTAGAGGAGAGGCTATTGCTCATGAGGACATCTACAATTTACCTGATAGAATCTGATCTCGTGTGGTAGAAATATGTTTATTTCCTGGGGATCTCGAAGAGTGTCAACTGCCAGGACCCCAAAGATCCTCATATATGCATCCTGAAGAGGTAGAGCCAGGAAAGACCCATTGTGCTCATTCTTATTGCGGGAATTGTTCCAGAAGAAGATGTTCCCATGGTGCTGAACTTGGGGGACATGGATTGGCTTGCCTTCATCAACTACTGTAAAGCTGATGAAAAGGGATAAAAAGATCAGAAAAAGCCAAAGGCTTTAGATTAAACCATAGAGGAAACAAAATAAGCATTATATATAGAAATAGATCAGATAACACCACCAGTTTGGAGGGTCTGACTTAAAGGAAAAATTTATAATCTTAGGGCTAGAAGTGTAGCTCAAAGGTAGAGGGCTTGCCTGACATATGTGAGGTGTTCAGTTCAATCTCCAGCACCGCAAAAGAAAATCAGAAGTAAAATATCAACCTTAGATCTTGACAGAGGATGTATATATATAAAACAGAGGAAACAGCTGGGTGTGGTGCACATGCCTTTAATCCCAGCACTCAGGAGGCAGAGGCAGGCGGATCTCTGTGAGTTCAAGGCCAGCCTGGTCTACATAGTGAGTTCCAGGACAGCTGGGGCTACAGGGAGACCCTGTCTCAAAAAGACCAAAAAAAAAAAAAAGCCAGAGGAAATATATATATATATATATACACACACACATACATATATGTGCCAGATACAGGAGATATAACTTATTGAACTGATATTGTAAAGCTGAGTCCCTACATGGTGTATCATTTCCAGAGTGAGTTCTAGAAATGATCTGGTAAAATCATCTAGGACTAGAAACCCATGAGATCCCACTCTAGAATCACTAGTCACTCAAGCAACTCATTAGGATTCAAATGCCAATTTAATTCAGAAGGGGAAATATTGTTTTAGAAAGATGAAACCAGAACCAGGCATGATGATACATGCCTGTAATCCCAGCACTTGGAAAGCATAGGCAAGAGGATCAGGACTTCAAGGCCAGTCTTGATTACATAGTGAGTTTGAGGCCAGCCTCAACTACATGAGACTTTATCTCAAAAAACAAGTAAATAAAAAACAGAAAGAAAGAAAAGAAGAAAGATGACAAGTATTCAACAAGTTCTCACCTGATTCCCTCCATATCTCTGTAAAGTACTTTGTTCAGTACAAATGGAGCATCATCAAGGGTACAAGCCACATTCCTCAAGAGCACGTTCCCTCTATCTGGCAGTAGTAAGTTTTCTTCTAAGAGGGAAATGTGAGCACTGATCTTCTTATTTCCATGTGCCTCAGCATCCTGTGGCAAAAATGTTTCTGGCTGTGTATTTGTTAGTAGCTATAGAACTCCCCAATCCCTTTTTTAGCCAGTTTGGAAATCTAGCACCAATAATTCACTGTCCTGAATAAATGATGTAGATATTACCCTTCATGGGCAGTGAGGAAAAGGCTGACCATCTAAATATGTGAATATGATTTTTAAAAAAGCTCTCAAAGAATTCTTAGCAGTTTGGATTTGAGCAAGAACTTTTTAGGAAAGGGCTCCTTAGAGACTAATACTGCAGATTTTCTTTTTTAAAATCAGCGTATATGGAATTAGGTTTCATGATGGAATTTTTCAAACAAAATTTGTTTCTCACCCCCAGTATCCTCCTTTTTGCTTTTGTGTCCTATGTTACCTGCTGCCTTCTCTTGCTCCCTTTTCAACACCTCTTGTTCTCTTCTTGTGGCCTCTTATGTGGTTTATATTCTATACCTACTCTCACACCCCTTTATATGCATATACACATCAATTTATAAATATATAAGCATAAATTAAAAATTAGGATCTGTATCTGGGAAAGAATGTGGTTTTTGTCTGAGTCTGGATCACCTCACTTAGTACAATAGTTTCCAGATTCATCAATTTTCCTGCAAACTTCATAATTTCATTTTTCTTTACAGTGAAGTAAAATTCCATTGTATTTATATCAATATATCTCTCTCTATATATCACATTTTCATTATCCATTCTTCTATTAGTGAACATCTAGGCTGAATTAATTTCCTTTTTATTATGAATAATGCAGCAATAAACATAGGTGTGCAAGCATCTGTGGTAGGACAGAATTCTTTGAGCATATGCTCAGGAGTGATATTACACAGTAATTCATTTTTTGAAATATTTTATTTATTATTTTTATTGTATGTGTATTGCCTGCATGTATGTGAGTGCGTCATGTTGTGCAGTGCCATGGAGGTCAGAAGAGGGCTTCAGATTCCCCTGAAACTGGAGTTAAGGACAGTTCGTAGCTGCCATGTGGGTGCTGGGGATCGAACCCAGGTCGTCTGCAAGAGCAGTCAGTGCTCTTAACTGCTGAGCCATCTCTCCAGCCCCAGTAATTCTATTTTTAATTTAATTTTTTTTCATTTTAAAAGTTTTATTAGAAAAATTTTAAATTGTAATAAAATAAAATGTACTTATCAAGAACAATAATGGTATTATGCCATTCAGAATATTCAACAAATCAGTGTCCAGTCATGTCCAATTTCTGCTGCACTATTGGTTTATGGAATCAAAAAGGAAACCCAACTCTTACAACCACTGCCTCAAAGAGACAATACTTGTTTGACGCTTAGGAAATACAGAAATGATTCCTGCCACTTCAATATGTAGAAAGTTGAATACACACATCCTTTAGAAAAAAGACAAAACTATGTTCTTTTTCTTTGCAAATTAACCTTTCATGTTCTTGATTTTAAATATCATAGTAGACCTACACATGCATTTGTTTATTCATGTATACATTATAGGCTAGGAGCCATATCTGAAGGACAATGTGATTTTTTTTTTAACTTTCTAAGATTGGGTGACCTCACAATATTATACATTGTCAATTTTTCTGTAAATATTTTAATTAATTTTTCTCTAGAGCTGAATAATATTCATATACATGTACCAGATTTTCATTATCCATTCATCTGTCGATAGACAACTAGTTGGTTCTATTTTCTTGCTACAGTGACTAGAATAGCAAAAAATTGGGGGTATGAATATCTCTATAGCAAGATAAGGAGTTCTCTGGGTATATGCCCAGAAGTGAGATAGTTGGATCATATGGTAGCTGATTTCCCACCAGCAGTGAATCTTTTTCTACATCCTCTCCAACATTTATTGTCAGATTTCTTGATAATAGACATTCTCACTAGGGTAAGGTGGCATGTCAAAGTAGTTTTAATTTGAATTTCCCTTATGATCAGGGATGTTGAACAGTTTTTAAAGTAGTTTTTGGACACTTGCATTAATTTTTCTGAAAACTGTCTATTCAATTCATTAGCCCATTTGTTGATTGGTAATTTTATTTTCTGGGTATTTAATTTTTTCAGTTCTTTGTATAGTCTGGATATTAGCCCCTTGTCTGATGTATAGATGGTAAAGAATTTCTCCCATTCTGTGGGTTGTCTGAGTGCTCTACTGAAACTCTGTAGAAACTTTTAAATTTCATGTAGTCACATCTGCTGGTATTTGGGGCTAGTTCCTGTGCTATTGATTATCTACTCACAAAGTTCTTGCCTACCCCGATGTCCTGAGTATGCCCTATATTTTCATCTAGGAGTTTCAGAGTTTCAGGTTTTAAATTAGTATCTGTTTTTTGGAGACAGTGTTTCTCTGTAGCCCCAGCTGGCCTGGAACTGGCTACATAGTTGTGATGACTGATCCTGGGTGTCAACTTGACTGGATCTGGGATTAACTGAAATGAGAGAGATCTTCTTGATTGGATCATCTGAAGCTGGAAGACACACCCTAAATGTGGGTGTTACCTTCTGATGGCAGCCGGTATAAAAGGCCATGGCAGAGGAGAACGCCTGGCTTCTTGCTGCTTGCCTTCTCTCTCGCTGGTGAGTTTGTCTTGCTGATGTAGACTGAAGACTAGCTGATCTTTTGGAATTCGTCAGACCTTAAGCATCAGATTGGGACTACTGAGACATGCAGCCTCATGGACTGAGCGACTCTGGATTCTCAGACTCTCCAATGTGGTGCAGCCATTGTTGGACTACTCGGACTATCCTGTGAGCTAAGCTGATAAATCTCTAAACATATATATTCATTCTACCAGTTCTGTTTCTTTGGAGAACCCTGACTAATACAGTAGTCCAGGCTGGCCTTGACCTCACAGAGATCTGCCTGCCTCTGTCTCTTGAGTGCTGGGATTAAAGTTGAGTACCACCATATCCAGCTTAAATTAATATATTTGATTGATTTTTGAATTGAATTTTGTATAAGGTGAAAGTTGTGAATCTAATTTCATTTTTCTACAGGTGGAAATTCAGTTTTGTCAACACTGTTTATTGAATAGGCTGTCTGTTTTTCAATGCCTGCTTTTGCCTCCTTTGCCAAGAATTAGGTGGGCACAGTTTTATTGTTTTATTTCTGGGCCCTCTATTCTATTCCATTTGTTTTACCTGTCTGCTTTTTTGCCAGTACCAAGCTGTCCTCATCTATCACTTTATCTCTATAGTATAATTTGATGTTAGGTATTGTGATACTTTGAACTGTTTTCTTACTCCCTAGGATTGCTTTGGCTATTTGTAGTCTTTTATGGTTCCATATGAATTCTTGGATTGTTTTTTTCTAGTTCCAAACATGTACCATTGCATGCCTCCCCTCAAATAATAAAATGACCCTTTTAATTAAAATTATTATTTTTATTTTTTTGGTCTTTTTGAGACAGGGTCTCCCTGTAGCCCCAGCTGTCCTGGAACTCACTATGTACACCAGGCTGGCCTTGAACTCACAGAGATCTGCCTGCCTCTGCCTCCTGAGTGCTGGGATTAAAGGCGTGTGCTACCACGCCCAGCTAATTAAAATTATTTTATGGTTAAATAGTTCCCCAAACACTATGCAAACTAAATGCAGCTTGCATGGCTTGCATATCTCCTTAGTGATGTTTTCATTATTATTCTATTATCTAGTCTTGGCTTATTTGACTCTTAGAACACATGAAATTATAAGTCCCAAGACTTCTTAGGACCTTTCCTTTATGCCTTTCCTCTCTGATTCTGTCTTGCAAACAATCATTCCAACTTTATCTCACTTGCTAGTTTTTTGGACACTGTAGCATTTCATGGAGCCCAGTGTGGCTTCAAACTCAGTATATACCTGAGGATGACTTTGAATTTCTGATCCTCTTGCTTCTATGTCTCCTGAGTGCTGACATTACAGGCATATGCTACCACACTTGGTTTATGCAGAGCTGAGGATCAAACCCAGGACTTCATGTAGCCTAGGCAAGCACCAACTGAGCTACATCCCCAACCCCTCACTCGGGCTTTGGATTATTTGTAATGTAGCATAATGAATAAAATAATCTAAACACCACTCAGTGGTTTGTTGTTTTTTTTTTTTTAGCAGCATCCAGTGATTTTTCAAGCAAATGATATGTGTTCCTCCTATGTAGTCACTGAATATCACCTACTGTGAGAAAGGTTTTTCTCTTATCTACATTATTTTAGAAAGCATACCTGCATGAGGGCCTTGAAGGTCTCAGTGTACACTGGCTCCAGGGACACCCCACTTGTCTCTGCAGCATACTGGATTTGATGTAGCCATTTCTGTCTTGCACAATTCCTCAGACCTTCAGTATGGCTCCTCACCAAAGAATTCACGAGAAATTCCACAACACTATCCAGAACTTGATCTTCATTGCCCCTGAGTTCAGATACAACCAATTCTATGTATTTTTGAAATTGTTTTGAAGACAATTTTACCTCATGACCAGGGTGTGGCTCTGGAAACTGGATGTGTAGTTTAGCTAAAAGACACAAGTGGAAAACAGAGAACTGACAAAAAGTTCATGACTCTATGGAAATTTTTTCATTTTTCTCTTACAGAAGGCTGAAGCCTTTAACAACTGTGTTCTATGGGAAACGGGGCATATTTAAAGGTATTTCTGAGCCCAGTATCACCTATGTTTTTGTTTTAATTCTACCACTCAGCTTGGTGGAATCCTAGCATTCACTGTGATTCATTCCTACATTTTGTCTTCCATGTCCTACCCTGTTTCTCTCTGGCACTATATCCTGTGGTCACTACTTTCCATTCTTTCTTTTATAACCCCAAACCAGCTTTCATCACTTTATCACTGATTTACCAATAGTAAATGCTCAATACATGTTTGTAAAACTCAATTAAAACAACTTGTTGGGTTGGGATGTTGGCTCAGTGGCAGTGCACTTGCCTAACATTCACAATGCCCTGGGTTCGATCTTCAAGATTGAAACACACACGGACTGGGCTTGATACCCGAGCTTGTAATCCTGGGACTAGTAGGCCGAGGCAGGAAGATCGTGAGCTTGAAAACAGCCTGAGCTGTGTGAGGAGATCTTATCTCTCTCAAAATACTAAACCAAACTAACCCCCAAACGTACAAAGCTTGCATTATGCAATTTCCCTGTTCAAAGTTCTATTGGAATCTAGCCTCATTTCAAATCCTATCTGCCCTTAGTACCCTAGAATAATTTGCTCCAGTATTCCTAGTCTACTCATAGTTCCTGACCAAGACTTGCATATTTCTGCACCCACACCTCTTTTATTTATTTTTTACAGTGTTGAGGAGTAAACCCAGAGTCTCACAAATGCTAGATAAGCACACTACTCCTCTCCTTCATTTTTCAATTGTACGATAATGAATCTAATATCAAACCTGAACACTATCAGGAACTTTCATCTTTCACGCTGTTCTGCCCTTTCCTATCCCTTGCCTCCTGCATCTTTTATGTGAATTTTGATTTTATCTTTCCCTTGGTTTTTCTTTTCCCAACAGTGTCACAGTTATGTAACAGTGTCTGTGTTACACATGTATATTTCTAAACGTTATGTAGTTTAATTTTATCTGGTTGTAAACATTAGACAATGTTGTCAACCATAGGTAGTTTTCTAGTACTTGCCCCCCCCCCCCCTTTTCGAGGCAGGGTCTCCCAGTAACTCCAGCTGACCTGAAACTTGTTATGTAGATCAGGCTAGCCTTGATCTCACAAAGATCTACCTGCTTCTGCCTTTCAAGTGCTGGGATTAAAGGCATGTACTTGGCCCAGTATTTGCCTTTTCATGACTCATGGTCTTAGAGAAGAACAAAGAAAACAGTTACAAGACATAGAAACTCTGTCTGATCAAAAAAGAGCAGTTCACGAGTCCAAAATGATTGAGAAGCATGGAGGATACAGATTCAGTGCTCCAGTTGTGCCAAGTTCTTTCAATTTTGGAGGCCTGGCACCAGGGATGAATTGAGTTACCACTTTCTTTCCTGCCTTGTGATTGTAGTGAAGAGCTTATGTGTTCCTCCTAGTAGCAGTTCCAGAACTGGTTCATGTTATCTACTCTAATTGATCAACAGATGGACAAAAAAACCCCAGGGGTGGGACCTGATCATGCAACCTGGCATTGGATGAGAAACTAGAGGGATTGGGGAAGGGTTAACTTGGGGGTTATTTTCTTTATTTTTTGAAGAAAGTAAGACCCTGACTCTGAAGCTTCAAGTGACACTGTGAAAATCTGAAATAAGGGGATGTCATGAAGGCAGCTTTTCTTTTTAAAAAAAGATTTTAACTTTGGTGATTTCTATGAATTTAGAAATTCATTCATTTCTTTTAGATTTTCAAATTTAATAGAGTATAGGTTTTTAAAGTATTTGCCTAATGTTCTGGATTTTTTTGGTGTCTGTGTGGAGTGTCCCCTTTCATCTCTGATTTTGTTAATTTGGATTTGCTTATTTCTTTCTTTTGGTTAACTGGGCTAAGGGTCACTCTATCTTGTTTAACTTTTCAAAGAACCAGCTCTTAGATTCATTGATTCTTTGTATTGTTTTCTTTGTTTTTATTTCATTTCTTGCTCTGATTTTTGTTATTTCCTCTCATCTCTTAGCTTTGGGTTTGGTTTATTCTTGCCTTTCCAGAGTCTTGAGTTGTACTGTTAAGTCAGTTGTATGTACTCTTTCTGATTTTTTAAATGTAAGCAATTAGTGCTATAAACTTTTCTTTTAGTACTGCTTTTAAAGTGTCCCAGAGGTTTTGTTGTGTTGTAGTATCCTTTCTGTTTAATTCCAGGAATACTTTTATTTCTTTCTAAATTTCTTCTTTGACCCAGTGTGTTGTTTAATCTCCATGAGTTTGTATAGTTACTAGGGCTTCTTTTGCCGTTGATTACAAGCTTTATTGCACTGCGGTCTGATAGAATGATGGAATTATTTCAACTTTTTTGTAATTTTTAAGGTTTGTTTTATGGCCTAGTATGTGGTCAATTTTAGAAAAACTTGAAAACTGGTTAAGATCAAGAGAACAAAAGACACCAAATACTGACAAGGATGTAGAGAAAGGGAATGTTCATTCACTGTTGGTGGGAATGCAAACTCATGCAACCACCATGGAAAGTAGTGTGAAGAACACTTAAGAAACTAAAAATGAATCTACCATATGATCTGGTTATACCACTCTTTGGCATATACCCAAAGGACTCATCCTACTGTAGAGATACCTGTATATCCATGTTTGTTGCTGCTCTTTTCACAATAGCTAAGAAATGGAAACAATCTAAATGTCCCTCAACTGACAAATGGATAATGAAGATGTAGTACATTTACACAATGGAGTTCTACTCAGCCTTAAGGAAAGACAAAATCATGAAATTTGCAGGTAAACGGATGGAACTAGAAACTGTTATACTAAGTGAAGTAACACAGACTCAGAAAAGCAAGCAACATATGTTCTTCCTCATTTTTGGATCTTAGCACCAATCCCTTATATGAGCATATATCCTGATGTAACAGCAGGAGCCAGGAAAATGGAAATGAAAAGGAACTACAGAGTTAAAGGGAAAGAAAGAGCTTGAGAGAGGGGGAATAGTAAGATGTTACCAAGGGGGAAATGGGGAAAATGGGGGCATTCAACTAGGAAGGGAGGAGGGAAGAACATACAAGGAAACATGGGGATAAAGGAGAAGAAGGAACTCAGGAGAGGAGGGATAATAGGAGACAAGTATTATCAAGCGGAAAATGGGGGTACTTAAACTGGGGAGGGAGGAGGGTGGTTAGACAGGGAGAGCAAGAGAGGAGAGATAAATAAAGCTTAGGCAGTGTAAAAAGCTAGAGGGAAATATATTAATTCACCCCCCTCCTGAAAAATACACATATAATATCTGAACATGAGTGTATGTGTATACCTGAAGGCTATATAACAAGAAACAGTGCCAGACAGGAGAAACCTCTCTTTGAGTTGTTGGTCAGGTAGTCTAAGAGACTCCAAAAATAACAGGCTATTGCCACAGTCCTTGATTACTTCCCAGAACTTGAAGGTAAGATCCTATTGTTGAAGACAGGACAAACTTCAGACACAGGACTTGGAGCAATGCAGCTGGAACTGACCTGGAAGCCTCCTCCCTGAAGACTAGCTCTCATAGTTCTAGAGGATACTATATAAGCTGATAAGGGAGAAAGTCAATCAATGGTTCAACCTAGCTGTAAAGCCAAATAACCATAGTGACTGGCACAGAAAACTATCTCTGTTGGTGTAGTAGTGGCACTTTTACCTAGGGGGTAATCAACAGCTAGCTAATTGGACTTAAAACCCTCTCAATGGGAGGGAGCTCAGGGGTGGCACTGTAAATATAGTTGGAGAGGTCATAGATCCTAGAGAAAACCCTATCTCTGTCATACCTCTAGACAAATGAAATTTCTTACTGTATGCCAAATATGGATCCTTATATTTACAGACAAATATACTGTACACCACTTATCAAAGAAGCTTCTTTTTGCAACAGATGGAGACTATTACAGAGTTCCACAACTGATCACACACAGAGAATATATGTTTGAGCCCCAAGTGACACATCTACATTGGAACCTCTACACCGGAGGCTCATGGAACATAGCAGAACAGGGGAGGGCAGAAAGAATACAAATGCATCCCTCAACTCTCCCCAGCAAAGCTTCCTTATACAACAGAGTGAGATGTACACAGAAGGCCACAACTGGCCAAGTTTTAGAGAATAAGAGATTGCAGAGTACATGTCCCTGGATAGGACTCCTATATTAAACTTCACCCACCCATGGCTCAGGGACCATTGTGGAAGAGGGGGTGGAAAGATTTAAGAGCCAAATTTGGTGCATGAACATAGGAAACAGGCTTTCAGGTCTCTGGGGACTTGCTCATTTGAACTTGCAACAATGGTGGCAGCATGCACAAGACCCATGCAGACTTAATCAGACAAAAACCTAGCATAGAACAGGGGAAATGGGCAGCAGGTCCCAACCCTAGCTGAGGAACTATTGGCAACTGATTATTGTGGGGTGAGGGAGAGTAGATATTCTTTAAGGAAGTGACTCTAGATAGGCTGACTAGACTCCAGTGGATGAACTTGCACCAAGAAACATCTGGGTATGAATGGACTTAACATATATGACAAAATGCATGAGACCTGGTGGGGAGGGGGTATGGGGTAGCAGGGATAGGGAAGGGAGTCTAAATTTGCATATTATATGAAATGCACAAAAATACAATAAGGTATATTAAAAAGATTATTTTATTTTTACTTATATGTATATGTCTGCATGTTTGTATATACACATGCTTCTGGGTGCCCATGGCAGTCAGTAGAGGACATAAGATTCCCTGGAGTTGGAGTTATAGGTGGTTATGTCATTCAGTGTGGGTTCTGGGAACTCAACTCCAGTCCTCTGCATGAACAGCAAGTGCTCTTAATCACCAAACCATCTCTCCAGTTCCAGGACTTGATTTTCCAGTTTCTGTACTACCATAGTCATCATGTTGCATCTGTAGCTGTGACTCATTCATCTTAACCATTGTGTTTATTATGTCAATATAATACTATTGATTATTTATTCTCCTATAGTGTATGTTTCAGTTATTTTCAATATTTTGCTATGCAAGCCTTTTGATGTTTATTATGAATTATCAAGTCATAGAGTGTGATGGTTTATAATGATTGCTAACTTGACAGGATGAAGATTTACCTTGGTAGCAAATTTCTGGGAATGGTTATGAAGGAGAGTTTAGATTGTGTTAACTGAGGTGGAAAGATGCACTCTAAATGTGGGTGGCTAATTCTTTGAGCAAGATTTCCTGAGTGAAGCAAAAAGAGAAAGTGAGCTGAGCACCAGCATTCACCCTCTTTGCTTTCTGACTGTGGATGCAGTGTGACCAGCTGCCTCACTTGTCTGTCATTACTTTCTCCACCACGATTAACTGGAGCCTCAAACTACAAGCCAAAATAAACCCTATCTTAAGTTTCTTTTGTCAGGTATTCTGTTCCAGAAAAGAAAAGTAACTAACAGATAAGGTAAGTGTCCTTTTCTTTTTAAGTTGCTTCTCTCCTCAATATGTGTTAAGGAAGGCATCTGTGCATGTGTGGCTTGCTCAGAGCCTGAGCAGGGTGAGGACAATACCCATATAGAAGAGCAAACTGCAGCCCACATAGATGAAGAGGGTGACTCTAGAGAGAGATAGTCTAGGTTGGTATTTCAAAGCCCCATTTGGATTTTTAATACTGAGTAGTGAAGAGGGAATCCACATAGTCTAGGGAGTTACCAACCGAACAAGATGAAGAGTGTATCCATGTGGAAAGGAAGTCCAACATGAGAAATCAGCCCAAGCAAAGTAAGATTCCAAAGATTTCAGGTAGGGGTCAGCTCAGCATAGGGAGCTATAGCCTGAGTGGGCCAAGGAAGGCATCAATGTGAAAAAGTGCCTTGGCATACATTCAGTCTCACAGCCCAAGGAGCATGTAAAGCATCTCCATTGGAGTGATTTAGTGTGGGGTCTTAGATCCTGACCAGAGTGAGGAAAGCAGAGAGAAAATTAGAATTCAGGCAGAGGTGGATGACCTGACAGCTGGAGGATGAAGAAGGAGCATATGCAGCACTGTCAGTTCTCTGAGTGGTATCCCTTCTTCCAAAGCCTTACTATCAAGAGTGTCATTCTTCCACTTCCTCAGAATGTGAAAGATTACTTACCTGATGATGGAACTCTGGTGGCTTCAGGAAGGGAAGATCCATCAACACATTCTCAGCCAGGTAGTGATAATGAAGCAGAAGAAATACAGTGGACTGATGATGAGAACACAGCCACACTTAGGGCATCAGAGTTTCCTGAGTTCAACACTCATGTGCAAGGAAGCTATCAATTTGCTGGGGGTGCAGTGTCTCTCCTAAACTTAACTAGAATGCTCCAAGGGATGCATATTGGTAGCAATGAATAGTTCTCTCAAGTGTAAGACTCTCAGTGACATCTTCCTGCTTTTCGAGGGTTCTGATTTCATCACTCATGATTTCACTCAACCATTCATTCATTGTACTGCTGATTCTCCAGACCCTTGTATGGAATATGAGCTTGTCTTCCAAAAATGGTGTGAATTAATTCCTGGGGCTGAATTCTGATGTTTTTCAAGGAAAACAAGCTCATTGGTATTTCTCAAAGGGACTACACACAATACTATGATCACATTTCTAAACAAAAAGAAAAAATTTGCAGATGCATACAAGGCTTTTTCAAGAAACACATACAAGTATAAATTCTTAGATGAAGACTTTGTATTCGATATATACAGAGACAGTAGGGAGAAGGAGTGGTTGATTGACTTTAATCCATTTGGTGAAGTCACAGACTCACTGCTGTTTACTTGGGAAGAGCTGACATCTGAGATAAACCTAAAAGGTGACTTCAGTGAAGGAGATGCTCAGGAGCAGGATTCTCCAGCTTTCCGTTGCACAAACAGTGAAGTTACAGTATAGCCCAGCCCTTATCTGAGCTATTGATTGCCCAAGGACTTTTTAGACCTTTCCACTGGAGAAGATGCCCACAAGCTAATAGTTTTCTTGAGCTGAAAACAAATCAGCAAGAGAACGACTGAGTGCTGCTTTCAGACTGAGCAGAAGAGGAAGTACGGCTACTTCAGCTACATAGGCCACAACTTTCTAGTGGCCCTTGTGGGAGTAGGTGGGGTAAGCAGTGTGCAAAATCAGCAGCTTTTTATATTAGTGTATATTCACCTGGAAAAAGATGGAGGGGCTTTGTTACTTGTAAAAATAACATAATAAATAGATCTTAAATATAAGAAAGCATACTGTTAATAAAATAACTTTCTATGAAAAAAAAGAATGCAGGCAGAAATGCTGTATGGTTTGGATACTTTTTTTTTTTTTTTTTTTTTTTTTTTTTTTTTTAGAAAGGTTTCCCTTT